CTTGTCCGTCACTTGTCCAGAGTTGACATCACTGCCAGGATAGGGAAGTTCAGGAGGAAAGGATCTGAATGTCCCCAAACCGGATATTTGCTTGAAATAGAAATCGGTTCTCGCTTGCCCCGCTGACCAAAAGTGGAGGTTTTTCACATGGGTGCCAAGCAAATATTGCCGTAATTTTTGTGTCCAAATGTGAAGATAGAACCTTATTTCGGGGACATCTGTCATTTCTCACAATTACGGTTTAATTTTCCGTTGAGGGAAGCTAGGGAAAAGCAGACACGCCAGTCCCACGTGCCCAGCAGACTCTGAGGCCACAGCCCCGCCCCCGTGTACTGGCCCTGCCTCCCTGCCCGGCCACAGGCTGTGAGCCATGGGACAAAGGCAGGGAGCAAGATGGAGTGTGCCTGCAACTCCAACCAGCCTCACCCGGCGGCAGGAGACTGCACAGAGGAGAAAGCAGAGACAGTCAGACCGTGTTCAAGCAAGGGCCGCCTCTGCACAGCTGCTCTGTGCACAGCTGGAGTCGGGCCTGGAGGACACATGCCCCTGCCCATTTCCTGGGCTGCCTGGAGGCAGAGAAGCTAGGATGAGGGCTGGGAATTCCGCTTCCTAGTCGAAACCCTCCCACAGGCCACCGGCTCCTGTTCTTCTTCCTATATATATTCTTTTTAATTTTTAATTTTATTTTTTTCACAATTTATTCATTATATACCTGTCTCATAAGGGAAGAGACACATATTCCATAGGCTCCAAATTGAATCTCATTGTCTCCAGAGACATGCCGCCACCACATATGTGTGTGTATGTGTGTGATACGTGTGTGTGTGTGGTGTGTGTGTGTGTGTGTATGTATATGTGTGTATCTGTGTGGTGTGTGTGTGTGGTGTGTGTGTATGTGTGTGTGTGTGGTGTGTGTGTATGTATATGTGTGTATCTGTGTGGTGTGTGTGGTGTGTGTGTGGTGTGTGTGTATGTGTGTGTGTGTGGTGTGTGTGTATGTATATGTGTGTATCTGTGTGGTGTATGTGTGCGTGTGACTTTAAGAACCTAGCAGAAGGTTTAGGATTCCCTGAAGCCACCAGCTGTCCCCAGCAGAACACTCACCTTGAGCTGAGTGGCTGAGTCCCCCCCTCCCCCCCCCCGTGCAATTCCTGCTCCCCCTAACCATCAACGTCCTCTCAGGCATATCTGATCTATCTCTAAGTGACACTTTTTTTCACACCCATGGCATCTTTCACATGTCATTTCTACTGCTTCAGGGCAGCCAGTAGGAGGAAGTTGGGAGGCGAGCCAGCACCCGGCAGCCCTCCGGCCTCATCCACGTGTAAGTGAAGATGGCGGGGTTGACCCTGAAGGCCCTGGCTCTTCACGCCAGGGCACACAGACCCTGAAGACCCCCAGGAGGAAGCAGGGCCCTAAGCACTAGTGAGCTTCAATTGGCACCACACTCCATGCTAAAGCTTTGTCTCAGATACTATCCTAGGAATGTGTGCCAAGAGGGAATTGACACCCACTCTCGCTGACCCTGTTCATCTTAGAAATCCTTAGCGCTTTGGAAGCACGCCTTTATGAAACATGAGATGCGTTCGGGACATCCTTGATCCTAACTACAACTTTGCTCACCACTGGGCAAGATAGCACAAAACAAAACTCTACACACTCCCAAAGCTGAGAGTGTGTGAGGCGAAAGCAGATGCCACAGCTGTGCTTCCGGCACTCGGTTCCTGGGCTTCTGCAGTCCCAGCCGGGCAGGTCTGCAGCGACAGTAAGAGGAGTGCTGGCCAGCGAGGGCAGGGATCTGAGGAGGGCGAATAGCGGGCCTTGCAGCTGGGCAGGAGGTAGCACTGGCCAGGTAAGAGAGAGAACAACAGCCAGTGTCGGCAGGCTCTGGCTGACCCTCCAAAGCCCCCATGAGGCAGCATTTCTTCACAGCCGCAACAGACCCAACCGTCCTGAATCCTCCCTCCGGTGCTGGGAGGAGACCCCTCCTGAATACGAGGCAGTCAAGGAAGATTGCAGATACATGCGTAACTGTGATGAAGGTGGTAGCATTCAGGCACACATGATGTCATCATGTGTCGCCTGCCAGGTAGTCGCACCTGGCAGGCGTGGGTCAGTTGCTCCATGAAAGGACCGGCCTGCCATGTTGTCTCTCTTGCCTTCTTGCTCTTGCACTCTCTTCCTCTCTCCTACCCTCTCCCCTTTCTCTGCCAGGGCAGCCCCATCCCCTCTCCCTATCACGTCTCGCTCACTCCTGCTCGCTCCTTCTCAATCTCTCTTCATCTCCATCCAATAAACCTCTTGCATATCATATCCGCTGCACATCATAATTTCAGGAGTGAGTTGCCGGCTCCCCATGTCCAGAGAAGGCAGTGTCCCTGGCAAACCACCGGCCAGGGTTTGCAGGGCTACACCGTCGTGTAACGGCGAGAACACAGACAGCGTGGTTTACTGACACCTAGAACACCTAGCCAAGGTTCAGAGCTGGCCAGGCCCTGGCAAGGTCAAGGGCCCCCACACCCACCACGGTCAAGAAGGAAGGAGTAAGGGTAAGCCTGGCACAGGATTAGCCCGTTTGGGCGAGCAGTGTGTGAGCATGCCCCTGGCTGGCCCCAGAGGCCGTGCAGAGAGTCTGTAGCTGCCATTGGCTCTGCTGGTATACGTGGAGACTTAACCAATCTTGATGGACAGCTCATCAGTCTTTGTCCAGTTTCTGGCATGAGTCCTAGAAGAAGCTCTTAGCAAGACCCTCCCGCCCCGGAAGCTTCAGTCTCTCCTGCCTTCATGGCTGTCTGCTTGCCCACTGCCCCATTTTCAGTGTCCTTGTTTCTCATCTACATAAAGTAGCCAACTTGGGAGTCACTGTCTCAGGTGACCATTGCTTTTTCCAGCACTCGAATCCCTGGGTCAAGTCCAGAGGTCAAGGGAGGCCCGTCACTCTCAAAGGTCTGCATAATCCCAGCCGGCAGCTGGTGTCACTGATGTACCGGCCTGAGGGCTGTGGCCCACCTTCTGAGATTGTGAGTGTGAACACACGAGGGCAGGGTTGGCGACACACCGGGCACCACCACAGCACTCCTGTCTGTGGTCCCATGTTCTGAGGTATCAGCTCCTCGAGGTCAGCCAAGGCACTGCTTCATCTCACATCAGCAAGGGGCGCTTACCAGATGATGAGGTGTTTTGATGGGAAGAGAGACAGTCAGAATCACACACATTGTATGACAGTCCACACCACAGCAAAGGTTTGCTTTTGTTCTCACTGCTGTTGATCTGCTTCTAAAGTAGCATTAGATAGACGCATTTAGGACAATGTGTCACGTACCGAGTTTAGTGCACAGTTTGCGGCACCGGGGGGGGGGGGGTCTTAGATCAACTCCCCTGCCGACAGCAGGATGCTGCACCCCGGTAGACCTGAAGCTCACTCATGACACACCACTTGGGGATCTCTGACGTTTGATGACTAAAAGCTGGGGCTGATTTTTTTCCAATCAATTCTAAGAATCCGAATGACTCACTTCCGAATCCCCGGCCTGCCACTCAGATTCCTGTGAAATATTTTGTGGGTACGAAACTGAAAGACAGTCTGGGGTGCAGATCCTATGGGCCTGGCGTAAACCTCACTGTAAAAAACACTCCACCCTCCTGACAGAACAGTCAAGATGGTCGGCACGAGGAGGTGGTTCCCAGGTCAAACCATGGAAGCAGAGATACTGTCAGTGAGAGCGGGCCTCTATAGAATCTTGTCCATCTTTAAAATACAGGTCTGTGTTTCCCCAAATCCCACATCAGAGCAATCGCCTACAAACAAGAATTCATTCAACTCCAGAACACATGCCTGTGTTCAGACATCTGAGGTGGCAAGTCCTCTTGGCAAAGGAGCTTCTGTGATTTATTAAAATATATTGTATTAAAAACGTCAGTGTGCCGATATAACACGTTCATGTTTTACCATTCAGAATACATCTCCAAAAACTTTAAGCAAAAGGAAAGTTAAGGCACATTGGTGAAATGAAAGCTTTCTGACCAAAAAGGAAATTCAGGTTAGAAAATCCAGGGATTTTCAGAAAATATTCTCCTCGGTTGATTTGCCTTTACTTCCTGCTGACAGCCTCAAGCCTATACTTACTGTTCCCTAAGTATAACCGGAAGTGGAATACACAAACAGCCTCTAGAAAACACATCTCCTAGAATTTGAGGGCAGGTGTGTCAGGGAACCTCCTAGAGAAGACACAGGGGACCAGCTCCCTGCTGCTGACTCGGCCTCAGCCACCGCCTCCCTCAGTCTTTCAGAGGGAAATGACCAGGGAAGTAAGAGTCCAAATCTAAGCCAGGTGTGCTGGCACACGCCTGGGAGGCAGAGGCAGGCGAATCTCTGTGAGTTTGAGGCCAGCCTGGTCTATAAAGCAAGTCCAGGACAGCCAAGGCTATACAGAAAAACCCTATATAAAAAAAAAAGTCCAAAACCAAATGGGGAGAGATGCCCAAGTCCTCAGCGAAGAACCAGTTGTTGATGCTAACACACCTACAAATGTCCAGATTGTGCCGCCTGAAAACCCTACAGGAAAACGTGTTTCCGCCTGTGCAGACTGGGACCACCGGGATGTGCAGGACCCACTAGGCAGGTGCTGTGCCCTGGGCTCCAGACAAGAACAGGGCTTCCATCAGTCAGCACCCACCGCTAGGGTTCTCCAGCATTGGTGGCGATTTCCAGGAGTCAGCCAGGAGCAGAAACCCATGGAGGGTGAGGGGCACAGAAGGAAGAAGCAGTGGGTGACATCGCTTGGAAGCAGTAAATGCCTTGAACCAGCAAATCCTCTGTGAAGAGTTACAATTCCATACTGAAAAGAGAAACTGAAAGGCGAGGTCTACAAGCCTGTGATTGGAAGGACCATAGTGAGCTCACCACCACGCCGCAGGCATCCGGAGGCATCCATGCTCCTCTCCCTGAACTTTTTATGTAAATGTTTTAATTTTTATCAATTACCCTTTATTCCCCCATAAACCCCTCCCTCCTCTCCTCTCAATCTCACCCTCCCTCCCCCTTCTTCATGCATGCCCCTGCCCAAGTCCACTGATAGGGGAGGTCCTCCTCTCCTTCCTTCTGATCTTAGTCTATCAGATCTCATCAGGAGTGGCTGCATTGTCGCTGCACTTTTGAGGTGGGAAAATGTCTAAAAGAAGAGCAGGGCAGGCCAGTGATAACGATACAACAAAAACCGGATCTCACCGATGAACCTTGAGGACGCCCCGAGGCTCATGAAAGGAGCCAGTCATAGAGTGAGAAACAGCGCGTGGCGTCTCTTACTTGAAGTTCCTAGAGTATTCACACTCATCGGGAATGGGAAGAGGCATGGTGGTGTCCAGGGGCTGGGAAGGAGGGGAGTGGGGAGTCATCATTCACTGAGAACAGAATTTAAAGACCTTGAGTTGTCCACTTAATAGTGAGGAATGGTGAATGGTGATGGTGAGTAGTGGTGAATGAGCTGTTCACACATGAGTGCCATGATACCAGGCCGCCTTGCTGGATTCTCACAACAGGGAGATGGACTCCGCCTGAGGCCTTCTACCCTCCCAGCTCTCCCTCCTACCCCCTCTCCCGCCAGCCCCTCCCGTCCTGCCTGTGGCCGGGCAGCCCCTCCTCACCTCCTTCAGTAGGCTCATTTTTTAAGCCTGGGTGTGTGAGCCATGGCTATAGAAGCAGAAGCAGCCTCTGGGAGAGGTCCTGGCAGCAGCACAGCGCTCTAGGAGTCAGCTGTCACCACGAGGGGCGGGCTCCTCCATGATGGAGTCACCAGGGCTCTGGAAACTAACTCCTCAAGACACTCCTGTAGGCAACTCTGACAAACCCACTGGTTCATTAATCTAGACTTAGACAGAATGGTTTCCATGTTCTGTGCCCGGTGACCTGTCGGGTAAGTGGGCATTTGTTCATGCTTCCCCTAAGCAGTCACATGTGTGTTAGCCACAGCTTGACAGGTTTGGATTGGAGCTGATTCTTTCCCAGTTTGGACCGTGGGAAATGGTAACGGAGGTGGCCAGAGCTATTTAGCATTAGGGCACTGGAGGAACTCTGCAGTCGTGAATTCCCCTGTGATAAGGGCACTCTCACGATGTGCTCACACAGACGTGCTGGGGTTAGGAGCGCATTGCACCAGTGCCGTAATCCGTATCTCTCAGAGATTTCTCAGCATTCTGGATGACACAGCATCTTTGAAAAGTAGACAGTCTCTTCCTTAGTTTGCTTTGACAGATTATCTTTTAAAGCTTGGAGTCCGGCTGGCATCTGAATGGCTCCCAGGGGTATCACACTAGTACCATGGTTAGTTCTCTATCTGCTGCAGGAGCATGAAGGAGATTCAAACGCAGTCTGCACTGCCTGAGGGCCAGAGCCTGGACAGTGGACAGGCCCAGGCAGTGTGCTACTGTCCTTGCTGGCCTCCCCGAGGCTGCTCACATGGCATCCCCAGACTGCCCAGCCTCCCATCTCAGACGTGCAGCAAGAGTCCTGGCCACCAGCTCTGTCATGCTGACCTTCTTCTGTACCCCTCAGGCACAGAGGTCCAGATATCAGCCGCCCCTCGCTCAGGAGAGTGTTCGGGTACTCAGGCGCCATGAAGCAAGCAGGGGTCATAAAGCATGAGCTAGGCTGAAGAGCATCCAAAACCAAAACAAACAACAACCCATGGCAAGGGCAAGAACAAGGTGCTCACCAGCACACAGAGCAGTCCGGAGGGCAGAGGTCAGGAGGGGGCAGGAGTGAGCCGCCACACACTAGCCACCCTGTCAGTGAGCAGTGACAACACTGGCAGAGTCCCATCTGCCTGCCGTGCAGCCACAGGGCGTGTGCCTCAGCAGCTTGACGGAGGAAGGCGGTGGTGGGAATCTCCTGGGTGGCATGCGGTACCTCACGCTC